AGACCTCGGGCAGCAGCGCTGCACCCCCCCGGCGGCGTTTTAATTAGCCTAATCCCCGTTTGCACACCCCCGCTCAAGAGCAATTATTTAAAAAAATTAGAAAACAATTAGGCTCCCTAAGCAAAGATAATCTATTGTCAGCAGGGAGGTGAGGACAATGCGGTGAGATAAGGGCAGGGTGCGGGGGGCTGGGGGTGTCTTTATGGCTGTATTTATCTTTGATTAGATAAGTCGAAACCCGTATTTTAAGCACACTCCAGAACGCTTTGGATTCAGGAATGAGTTCGTTCCGTGGGTGCTAAGAGCCATCGCGGGGCTCTTTAAAACCTGTTTGTCCTCACTAAGACAGTCGGATTTATTTGACCTAGCAAGTCGGATTTATTTGAGTTCACTGCTCCAAGTGAAGAGGAGATCGCTCCCGGCCGCGGAGCCGCGGGGCTCGGAGCCGGGGCCGGCGGCGCTGCCCGCAACATCTGCCCGCGCCACGACGTGGGAAAGGCCGATATTTTCCTAAATCCGGATTGTTGTTTTTCCCACGTACTTCGCGTCTCGGAGCTGTTTAAATTAAGCCCCTGCCACCCAGTCTGTACAGCGACTGTACTATGTCCGCTGGAGTCAGGGCGCTTCCATATCCCATGACCATGTGTCTGGTAATTTTCCCTTGCCATTTTATTTTAGTACTTATGATGTTGCAGATGAAGTCTTAAAGAGCTGCAATGTCCTCCCAGAAGGAATGTCTACTTGGAACAGATCCTTATTGACAAGGCAGCTGTGTGGGGACCGGAACGAAGCCTTAAACCCGGCTCTAAAATCAACTAATACCCTAAAGTCTGGAGCAAGTGCGCAGAATTATAAGGCATGGACTCGCCCGCGGCCGCGTCCTGGAGGAGCAGCGCCCTGCCCAGCCTGGGGGTGGCTTCCCCCATCCCTCGTTTCTGTCGTTATTCATTTTAAATTTTATTTTCTTCTTTCTAATGAGGGGCTCAGCTCGGGAAGAGCACGGACCTGAGGGTTTGTAACTTCTGGATGAGGAGGAGAGAAACGCAAAGCGGGACTGGGGAAGCCCCTGAGCATTGTAACGAGAACGGGCTTCTCTTGCCCTCGCAGTTCTCCTTGGTTTTTTGGGGTTTTTTTTGTTCTTTTTTATTTTTTTTCCTCCTGTAAAAGGCCGACGAAAACAAACACCGATCTTGCTGGGAATAAGAAAATGATCCCGATGCGGCCGGCGGAAGAGCTGACAGACACGGGCGAGGGCTGAGCGGAGGCTTCCTCGCCATTCTTGAGCGGGACTTTATTCTTCCGTCTCATCAAAATTCACAAAAGGAGGGGACAGACCCGCCGGGGTCTACCTGGGAGTTGCTGCAGGCAAGAACCGCTGAGCATCAATGTTCGTTCAATCTCCTGGGTTGGCTTTCCTAAAAATTGGGAACCTTTCATTTTGAACCAGGAAAAGAGACAAATGTATTTCCAGAACATCCCATCACATTTAGTCCTTGAAAAATCACAAAAGCAACAACAACAACAACAAAAAGATAGTTTCGAGCCCCTCAAAAAATAAAAACATAAACAAGGCAGATGTGAACAAGCGAAAAACCACCGAACGCCACAACAGCGCGGAGCTGCCGCCGGCCCCTCTCGGTCCTTCCTTTGCCGCAGGAGCAGGAGCAGCCCGGCAGCATCACCCCGGCAGCATCACCCCGGCAGCATCACCCCGGCAGCATCACCCGCTCCCCGCCCGGCCGGAGCTCCCCGGAGCTGCCCCCGCCGCCGGGGCCTGGCCCCTCCGCACCCGCGGAGAGGTGGCGACCGAACGAGGGGGCCTCCGCTGCTCGCCCTCATTGCCCGGACACCCATCGGTTCTGTTTGTGCGGGAAATTCATTTATTCCCTTATTTATTTGATGTATTTGTAAAACGCAGGGCAGGGATGAAGATGGAGCCCACGCAACGCGCTGCGGGTTTTTCCTCGATTTCGCCAGAAAATCAAAACAAAGCAGAAAAAAAAAAGTAAACCAAATACATCTCCCATCTCCTCCCGAGCTTAGAAATAAAGCTCTTCCCCAATCAAAAGTAAAATTTAATCTTTTTTTTCCTTAAGTGTGAGGGTCTGGAGGAAACAAATAGCTCAACAAAATAAAACCAGGAGCGGGGTTTTGGGAGCCGCTTCTCGTCGGGATGAGAACCGGGGCTGGAGGCTGGGAGCCGGCGGGGCAGAAACACAACGCTGCCGCTCGCCGAACATTTCGAAGGCGAAATCCAAAACCGACCCATTAAGTCAATGAGGTTTGTGTTGTAGAGGCTTCTTTCCCATCCACTTGCTGTTCTGAAAAATAGATCGCATTTCGTTATCTCGAGTGAGGATCTGCAACGTGATACCGGATCCGCGCCGCCTTCCCTGCCGAATGCGAGGCGCAGGGAGACAGCCAGCTTCCCGGCTTATTCCCCAACAATAAAGGATTTGTATTTTCTTTCTCTCCCCCCCGCTCCCTCCTTTATTATTCTATTTTTTAATGAGGAAGAACAAACCCCTCTCCATATGCACCGCTCTTCTCTTGCGGGAGCCTCTGGCCCGGCTCGCCTGCAAACCGGTGCGACCTTTAATTACTTGTTAGTAAATTGCCCTCCCGACACCTGTAAAAACAAAGCCGGTGTCCGCGGGGCGGGGGCCGTGTCCCTGGCCGGGCCCCGCGCCCCGGGGGTGCCCGGCGAGGGGGTCCCCCCGCACCCAGCGGGGTCAGGCCGGGCCGGGGCTGCCGCAGGAGGGCCGGGCCGGGATGCTGGGGCAGGATAAGGATGAGGGTAAGGCCTTCCCGATGTGGCCGATCCCCAGGGCACAAAGGGCTCTTTCTTCGCGCACTTACCGGGACATTTTCCAAAGGATTAGAGGTGATCACGCGTTGTTTTTTTCTCTCCGAGGGCCGATACGTCTTTCTGTCCCTGTCCCCCCACCTCCCCCCTTATTTCCTCCTGCTTTTGCCATGGGACCCCCAGATCGCGTCCCCCCCTTTCCTCTTCGCTAATGTACCTCCTGGATGCCGATTCTTTTAAGCTACGAAGAATTTCCTTTTGGGAGGTGAAACCCTCCAGCTCCTCCTGTTCAGAGGAAAGTGCTAGTGATGGTAATACGGGGTGACACTAAATAAACAGTTAAAGCAGGGCTGGAAAGATGGAGTTAATTATCCAGTGAGCTACATTTAAACCGAGACCAGGAGGGGCTGATTTGTTTTGGCGCAGGGAACTGAGAAGGAGACGAGCCACCGAGGTCTCCTTGCTCCTCTTCGGTGGCTCTTTAACTTGTCCTTGCTGTCGCCAGCCCAGGGACCGGCGTCTTTTGGCCCGGGTGGGGGAGCCCCTGGCTGGGACCCCCGAACCGTGGCCCCCTGGCCCCGTGGTCGCAGTGCTGAGAGTCTCTGCAGGAGCCGTGCACGGGAGCAGGCGATTTCAGGGGGTCCAGAGGTGATTTTTTTCCATGTTTGTTTGCTTTTTTTTCCCCAGAAGTCAGATAAATTCTCTTCCGTGCTGCTCGCCCGTGCCTGCCTCTCAGGTAAGTCTCCCTCCGAGCAGCAGCCCAGCGATATGCTTTTGTTTTTTAAATTTTCCCTCGTAATTCTTCCCTCTTTTCTTCCGTTTTTAACTCCCTCTCTTTTTTTTCTCTTTTTTTCCCTTTCCTTTTTTTTTTTTTTTTTTTCCCTTTGAGAAGTCTGATATTAATAATCCCCGTATGCCCTGCTTTCCGGGTCATTACGGTACTGCTGGTCTCTAATCAATCCTAATGCGATGGCAATTGGAGTCTCTGATGAATGCATCTCAGGTTTCTTGTAATGGCTCTACCACATTTTCCTGGACCTCCTTCTTTAACCTGAGATGCCAGGGGGACGTCTCCGTTCTCAGCTGCTGATTACTTCAAGATGTTTGGGCTGGTGTGGGGAGAGAGGGAGCGAGCGAGGCAGCCTGCCCCTGAATAATCTGGAACTGAATTGGATGAGCCATTTCCTAAATCAAAGGACAACGGCGGGGTTTAACTCCTTTTCTACACAGAAGCCTGCCGGCTCGCCTTCCACGGCTCGCCTTCCAGCCTCCACGGGCTGCGGTGCCTCTCCCCCCGCGAGTTCGTGTCGGTGACACGGCTCTCGGGTACCCGGGGTGCGCAGCTCCCCCCATCACTTCCAGTCCCCCCCTTTCAAAGGGGAGACCCCCACCCTCCATCCCCAGCTGCTCGCACTGCCCCAAAGCCTCTCGGTGCCGCCGGGGGGGTCTGCAGCCCCACCACGGGAGGTGGGACTCCCACGTCAGGGGGGGAAGGGATGGTGGGATCACCCCGCGGGCGCGCAGGGATGCGCCGGTATTCGCGCCGCGATTCGCTTTTTCGCGACATTGTTCTTTTCCCAACGTAATAGCGTTTGCCGTAACACGAGGCAAATTAGCTGCAACTTCTGCCTCTTTCTTGATTTTTAAAGATTTTTTACAAACAAGATACTGCAGAAGGAATTAGGCTGCGGCCAAAGCAGGCGCGGGGCTGCCGTGGGTTCGGGCGCTGCCTCCCCGCAGCCGGCAGGATGTTCCCTCGGGATGCGGCTCCTCCGTGGGAGAAAAACACGCCCCAGCTGCCCCTCCTCGGCCGGCAGCGGGATATATCCCAACACGCGTGGGCAGCTTCGTCTGCGCCCCTGTGAGATGAGGGTGTGCCGACGGCGAGGGGCAGAATAATATTTGAAACGAATAATTGAATCTCTCAGCGCCGGATGCGATGTGAAAATGAATCCCCGGCAGAAGAGCAGCGAGGGGTAAATCCGGCCCCGTCCCCGAGGGGTCTGGCCCTGCGTGGGGAGGCAGCAGCACGGTCTAGGGTGGGGAAATGTGTGCTGGGTCCCCCTTGCACCTCAGCGGTGCCACATGTGCCAGCAATGAGTCACTCGCAGAATCGAAACAAACCACGGGCGCCTTCTCCGCGCCGTGCGCTCGGGGAGGCGGCTCCAGCCCGGCCGATCCTGCAGGGGCTGACCTGGGGGTGCGGGACACCGCAGCTCCCCCAGCAGCAGCGCTGTGTCACCCCCCGTGTGTCACCCCCCGTATGTCACCACCCGTGTGTCACCACCCGACACGCCGCTTGTGCGCTCCCACCGACGTGCGCATCCCCCGATCCGCGCCCCTCCGTGTGCTCACACCCCAAAATCCTCCCGTGGGCACCAACACCCGTGTGTGCGACCCTCCCCTGAGTGCACAGTCCCGTGGAGCTCCCCGAGCGGCACAAACACCCTGCCCGCACTCCCGTGGGCAAACGCCCCTCACCTGGGAGGGGAACCCCCCCCGTGTGCTCACACCGAGCCGTGGGAACGCTCCCTCAGCCCTGTGAGCTCGTACCCACACGGGTTCCGCACCCCCCACCCGCATCTGTGACACCCACCCACCCTCACACGGACCGTCCCCACAAGTCTGGGGCAGAGTTCAGGGGTGTCATGCGGGTGGGTCCCGTCTGTCCCTGCCTTAGGTGATGGCTAGGACAGGGACACTGGGAAAACTGCAAAAAAATCCCCAACCCATTTATTTAAAAAAGGAACAACAACAAAAAAGGCAGCAAGTGTGATGGCTGATTTTTTTTTTTTTCCTACAATACATTATTGTCACGATTTTTGTGCAAAATGCTTGGAAAAAAATATAAATTACATTTTGGGTCCTCACCGGATCGAGGCAGGCACTTTGAGGATTCTCCTCCCTCCGTGCCATCCCCCAGCACAAATCCTTCTCCCCACCTGGCCAACGCATGATCCATGCTGGGAGCAAGGTGCTTCCCGGGTGGCAGCTGGATTTGGGACAGGATTTTCATCCCAGGCTCTGTTTGCCTGTGTGCTCCGCATTCGGGTACCAAACAAATATTGCCGTTGCTGTGTGACAGTGCCAGTTTCAGGTGGACCAAGGGAAGAAGCACCATCACCCTCTCGGGTGTGTGTGTGTCCCTGTGGCGGGTCAGTGGCACCCCATGGGGATATGGGGTTGTGGGGCAGTGGGGTTCTGCCTTCAGCAATCCAGTGCTGGGGGGCCCATCCCGCACCCACCGTCCCGCTGGGTTTCCAAGCTGGCTGCGAGGAGGGGACCTTTCACCTCTCATTAGTGATGCCATCAGTGGCTTGGCAGAGCGGAGCTGAGGTCATGTTACATATGGCACACAGTCTGTTCAGCGCCGGCAACGCCAGCTTTGAAATTTTAGAGAGGGGAAAGGTCACCTTGCGTAAGCTGAGGTCTGGGGGTCCTCCGGTCTGTCTGCGCCCTGGGTGGGTCTCCATATGCCTCTGTCGTCGCCAGCCTTGCTCTGTCTGGCCCTGAGAGATGCTCAGCCCGTCTTCTCTTCCATCTCCTGAATTTTGCAGGGAATATTTTCCCACTACCTTTCCTTTTCCCTTACAGAAAGCCTCTCCCAGCGCTGTATTTTTTTCTCCTTCCTCTTCCCAGCACAAACCTGTCTGTAACAACTGATTATTTTTTCAAACAACATATAATGCAGCTTTCCAGGAGAAAATGAGTTGTCTCTGTTTATCAGCAGATCTGCCCAGACGGATAAGTTTACTCTTCTCAGACCTGGGTGTATAATTTCATAGACCTTCAAAAGTGTCGTGCTTCCATGGTGATTAAAACTCGCTCCTGAATCTTGCTGGGGCATTTCAGGTTTCATGCCACTGGATCTTAGGAAAGCACATCTGTACAGCCATATATCTTTCATCTGAAGGGCCAAAAGGAAAAAAAAAAAAGCAAACCAAATATAATTAGTATTTGGAAAAATATGACACATTGAGATAAATTAATTCCTGGTGTAATTCACTGCACTGAATTTCAGCAGGATCCTGTTGGAGCTTCATCTGGACTGATTCTGGAAGTGGTGACTGCAAGAAAGAAGATACCAGTTTCCCATGTATCACAACTGACAGGTAAGTTCATGCCCCTTCTCGTCCCCGCTGCAGAATCTTATTTTGCATTTTATTTTTTTAAATACATGGGGCCTGATCCTTAAGCTCTTCAAGTAACTTGGCCGGGAGTCTCTGGCATGCAGCTGTTGCAGGGAGATCTTCAAAAGGACATTTGCTTCTTCACAGGTCATAACTAAAAAGGCTCTAAATGAAATAGATGCTTATCTTGAGAATCAAGGAGAAGTTGGAGCTGAACCAACATGCAGTGGATTCGGGATACACCTTTCTGTCTGCTCCAGTGAGGCATCCAAACAGCCAAATTAAAGGGAACTCAATCTGATTTCCTACGAATAGGACTACTTACATGGATTTTAATTTTTAAGTGGGAATATTCTGGCTTTCAAAGAGGGAATTTGGGAGCAGAGGTATGAGAAGGCTTATTTTCAGAAGTGGAGATGCTGCAATCTATTTATGGTTTTTATCATAAACCATGTTTTCCTTGCATGGGTCTAAACTGTGCCCTTGGTTACTGAGTGCAAATCTGCTGATTTAAATGGAGTTCATTGCAAGTGGGAACAGGACTTAGCCATCATTTTCCTCTGCTGTCTAATCACTGTAGTCTGAAGAAAAGCAACATATGTATAATGGTAGCTGAGATGCAGGAGGGGTGGAAGCTTTCTACCAATGAGAACCACATTAAATAATTAATTCCCAATTGCCTTTCTACATTAGTGCTTTCTGCTATAAAAGCTGGTCAGCTTTGTAAGGCCCCAGGCAATGAAACATTTGGTGCATTGTCAGTCCAAAAGTGGAGGTAATAGATATCCAGAGTGGCTGGAAAAGTGCTGCTCTCCATCCTGCCATTTACATATTCCAGCTGCACAGCCTCATTCCTTATTCCTTCCTTTGCCTCACTGAAGTTTGACAGGACAGCCTCCCTTCTGAGCTGCCTGCTGAAGAAGCCAAAAATGTATTTATTCTATCAAAAAAGAGAGGAACTTAACATCTGAGTCCAAGAATGGAA